TATGAGACCCCCTATCCCGGCCTCATAGCTGTTTTTGATACACTTGGGAACAGCTTTTTTTAATATGGTAATTTTTATCGTGATCAATTATCATTTATAGTAATATTTTTATTGATAATACCCAGTGTATATTTATTTTGTTTTGTTATTTAACTTAGTATATCATAATTTTGTACGTTTTATAAGAATTTAGTTTAAAAATTAATTTAATATTCATATAATTTAATGTGATAACTTTATAATATCTTTTATGTAGAATTACATGTATAGTAATTGTTAATTTTTATATTTAATAAATGTTACTAAAAATTCATTGTGTTTGATATAACTCATTATTAAAGTTATAATATAAATTTAATTAATTTTATTTTTTATTTAATAATATAACCAGTTTATATTTATAAATTTATTTAATTATTTTATTTTTATGAAGTTCAACTGTTTCTAGACATACCAATAAAACATATAATTTCTTAAATTTTAAAATGTAATACAAAAATAATATTTTATACAGTATTCAAACATTTTATTTTCATGATTGTAGTTATTAAATCACGCGCCTTATTATAGCTACAACTATTGCCATTCAACGTATTAATATCCAGCCTCGATATCCTTGAATAAATTGTTTGAGTACGTAAAATATTTAATGCTTCTTAAATTCACATGTTAAGTAATTACCAACTGATACCTAATTACTTATCAAGTATTATATAAAACATGGATTTTCCAATAAACATGTACTTCAATATATAAACAGATAAACCATGTTTATATTTAAGATGATGCTGATATATTTAGGTATTTTTGTTAGTTAATTTGCAACAAATACTATTCTAATTCACTATCATAATTATTTTAATTGATAATTTTAATAAATATTTTGTATTTTTTCAATATATTGAAATATATTTTTTGTTTACATTATGTAAGTTTTAGCGAAGTACTAATGATTTTCAAAATTAATTAAAACTGAAATACCTTTCGATTAGAAAAAAGTGTCATAAAAAATATTGCAAACTATTAATGAAAAATATTTTTCTATAATTACGCGGATTTTTCCCAACAAATCATTAATTATAAACACAAACCTGTTTTTGATAACTATTTAAACTCTTTTGTGAAATTCAATGTGTTTTTGAGAATTTTTCACAACATTTTATACATATAATAATGTTTTGTATAAACATTTTAGTTTATCATAATGTTACATATTAAAACCTCGCTAATTTTGTTCATGGGTGTATACATTGTTCAATGTGCCAAAAATAATTGCAAACTTAGGTAATTAACTATTATAAACGTGTTAAAAATTAATATTTTATTTAAATAAAACATATTGTTTTAAATTAAGTAATCTAGATAGCGTGATGAAACCATTAACCAAAATTATTGCCGACAAAAATAGCAAATGGCCAGAAACTGCTGAACAAAAACATGAATTTTGCAGGTAATGTCACATTACTAACTACACAATTACTAATATGGGTAAATTAATAGCTATTGCTATTACAAGATTACTTTATTCATAAATTTATAAATATTAAACATTAAGTTTCAAGCTGTAAACAATATTTTGCTTTTAGTAATATTTTAGCTTTTGAGAGAGAATTCACATAAATTGGGAACTGAAACCACAGCTATCATTAAATTAATTGTTTGTATTTATTTTATTATTTGACTTTTAATAATAGTTTTATTAACTACAATATAAAGAAATAAAATTTACACATTATATTAATTACACATTAATATAAGATTTAACAAAGAATGATTCTAAATACAGTATAAATTATACTGTATAATAGTGTTCCAAAATATATACAAAACTCAGTGTAGTCTAGGTGCATGTCTAGTCCGAGCTAAAATTTGAAACCTACATAAATAAACATATATGCATATTTATATGAAATTAATGCATAATATTTAATTGTTGTAAATTGTAACCAGGTACAAATACCAGCGCGTGCACCGTGCCAAAGACCATGTGCGGCAGTGTTACCACGGGCTGTCGGCCTCGTTATTACGTTTTTCGGTGGACGGCATCGAGAAAATGAATGTCAAAATGTCGTGTAAAAGTGACGCAGAGATGGAACGATTTTTATCACGTTCTAAATGCGGTAATAGTGGTAAAGTTGGTACAGCCAAGTGCTATACGAGTTGGACACACAGACTGGCGCTGGTCCGCAACGTTACCGATGACGCCAAACGTGTGTCCGCTTTGTGTTGGTATACATATAATAGTTTACATACTGTATAGAAATAATTAATTATATTTTGTGGTGTTATGTTAAATTTTCATTTTATATGTTGGACAGTTCCCGCATATTTTCTTTTGCTTAAGCTAAATTATTTTTACTATTATTTTTAACTTGATTATAGAATTGAAATTGCTATATTTATACCATGTTCTATTATTTTGTTTGTTTGTTACTAGCTCCATAGATGACTGGATCAAATGCTCTCACGGCGTGTACCGTAATATCAGTGACAAAGTGTGTCCGAAAACTATGATTGATGAATTTGATAATTTTATTCACCGGTCAACTGTCGACCCCTTGAATATTGTGTTTCACTGCAGTGATCACAATCGCACCGTTAACTGTCGGTCCATTCGGAAATTACTACCCAAGTCTAGTGGTCACTCTACTAGTGGTAGTAATAAGGGTCACTACTCAACACATTTTCCCGCAATATTAGATATTTCACATTCAGTACATTAACTCATTTTATCAAAAATTAATCTTTTTGTTTTTGTGTTTTTTACATGGTTATAATTTTATGTATTTAATTTAAATTGGTGTAACATTAAATTAATTTAGTCATATAAAATCATGTATTTAACAAGTAAGTTGAAACACTGTATAATATTTTATATAACACAAATACGTATTTAAAACAACGTGTTTAATCAATTTTGTATAAAATTGATATTTGTAAAAAAATTAACCTTGATGTGTTTTTATTTATAATTAAAAATTTTTAAACAATGACGGAATTTACAAAAATAACAAATTAATTACACGTGAATTAAAAATCATCTACATTTTTCAAAACCAGTTTTATACAATTTATTATGTTTATTAAATTTTAGTTGTATTAATTGCTAGTGTTTAACACTGTTTGCTTTTTCCAATTTAGCTAATTTTGTAATTTACTAAGTTTATTAGTTTTTGCCGTGTAAATATATATAAACTTGTTCATTTGACTGATTCTATTAAAGCAATGAGGTTGCTAGCTAATTTTGTAATATTTTTGGTGGTATTATCATTACCACATACGTACAACTCGCTGGAAAAGGGGTGCCAAATGAGGTGACTGACTATTTATGTATATTCTATAATAAATTTAACTAAACCGCACAATTAAAGCTGTGCAGCATTCTTATTGTTATCCTAAGATTAAAATTTGGTCTTTTTATTATATTATTAGCCAATTAGACACCAAAATGAAAAATATAGTCAATTTTGTTGGTTCAACTGAGTATAAAATTCCAGGAAATGACCAAGAGCTCAACGATTTTTGCAAGTATGCCTGAATATAAACTTATCTAGTCTAAAAATTATGAAAATATTTTACATCTCTCTCTCTCTCTCTCTCTCTCTCTCTCTCTCAGATCAATGGTTGGATACATACGAGAGG